CTGGAGGGAGAGATGAGGTCCTGAAGGAAAGATCCATGATTGACTGTCTCGTGGGGCCCCTCTGATGATGTGCTGTTAACAGTGGGAAATGGGATCCCGGGGAGGTTTTCCTGGAAAGATCCTATAAAGGCTGGTTTCAGTGGGAGAAGGGGCCTGAGCGTCTGCAGAGCGCGGTGTCATGCTCTCCTTGGCCGTTTCCCAAGCACGGTAAATGAGGGGTCAGGTAAGACCCCAGGTACAGGGCTGTCGGATCCCTGGTTATTCACAGCCAGGCCCCACCTGAGGCCATCTGTTGACCAAACAGAGAAGGTCTGGTGGTTTTCCCTGTCACCTTCCCATTGGAGCATTCACTTCTAGCCGGAAGACAGGATACCTAGCACCTCTGGTGTCAAAGGCTGGCTTGGGGTTGTGCCAAGTAATTACCAGACCTTGAGCCTGTGGCTCTCAGTGGGAGCGGCAGCCCATGAGCCTTATCTCAGCCAAGTAACCTTTCCTGACCACAGGAGCGGCTTCCCTGTCCCGTCCCTTCACTCCACCTCCTTCCTTTTCCCTGTTCTTCATCCCACTGCTTTCCCATTCTTCTTTCTGGTGGTGGGGGAGACTGCCCCCTGCTTGAGGACACTCTCCGTCAGGCTCGGATGTGCCTCTAGCACATTCCTGGCCCGTGAGCACTCCAGGTGGGGAAGTGGACAGGAGCCGTTGGCCATAACCAGACAATTTGGAGAAGTTTTCCTAAAGCTCCACTGAAAGTTTCATAAGAAATATGTGTTGCATGATTTTTTAGAAGAGACTCAAGTTATTTCAGTAGGATTTAAATCGTGCAACAACCAGAGTATCACCTCCAGGCCACCCCTTAGGGCCTGGGCGCCGGCCATGGGTACTTCTTCCTCCCTTGGCAAAGCATAGGAAGACTGACTTTTTGAATGGTCAGTGTCCAGTTGAAGGCAGAACACTAATCAATTTCAAGGCCCACAACTTGGGGACTAGACCACCTCGCGTTTAGGGACCTCTGCCGCCTACGTGCAGTCCGTGATGGAGTAAATGAGATGACACTACTGCCCTGATTACTCTTAGGGTGAGGTCAAGACAGCATCAGATGTTTCTGCTCTTCCTTCCCCGACAGTGTTAAACTGAGTCATTTAACCTGTTAAATTAAGTCATTGGGTTTTACTCTGTTCTGTTTACAGTTTACTATTTAAGGTTTTATAAATGTAAATATATTTTGTATATTTTTCTATGAGAAGCACTTCATAGGGAGAAGCACTTATGACAAGGCTATTTTTTAAACTGCGGTATTATCCTAATTTAAGAGAAGATCGGTTTTTAATAATTTTTTATTTTCATAGGATGAAGTTAGAGAAAATATTCAGCTGTACACACAAAGTCTGGTTTTCCTGCCCAACTTCCCCCTGGAAGGCGTCCTTTTTGTTATTTGACATGTAGCTTGTTTGTGCCCTGTTGACGTAAATGTCCCGACTCTGCTCCGTGACAGTAATGGAGAAGGAAGGTCCTGGCCGCACGAGGCCAGCCCCCTCCTTCCCCATCACAGCAGAAGGCTGCAGAGGCCCTGGACCCACGTTTCTCCTCCCTCCTTTCCCACACTGTCCCTCTCCATCCGGCACTAGCTCGAGAGAGAGACAGACACACAGACAGACAGACACACAGCACTCTTCCATTGCCTTCATCTTCCCTACTTCAGAGTCAGCAGCCAACAGGCTGAACAGCAGTTTGCCCTCTTCCATCACCATCTGCCTCGGAGGTCGCCTCCTTGTCCTCTGCCCATCAGCTCCTAATACCTGCAAAGAACCCACTGACCCCCGTGCCCTCTTTCGGCGCAGCCCGTTGCAACCGAAGCACAGTCTGACCACTCACGATAAAGCAGGTTTTCCTCTGCTCCTGCCGCAAGGTTTAGAGTAGTGTTGTCCAGGCAGAGGCAGGGCACCCTTTCTCACCACAAGAAGCCCGTTCCTCTGGAAGTCTAGCAAAGCAATACGACTCAGCCCAGCACTCTGCCCCAGGACTCACGGCTCTGCTGTGCCTTCCATCCTGGGCTCCCTTATCTTCTGTGACCTTAACTTTGTCTGGTGGCTTTGCTGGAACATTGTCACTGTTTCCACTGTCATGCAGGGAGCCCAGCACTGTGGCCAGGATGACAGAGATTTCCTTGTCATCACGGAGAAGTGCCAGCAGGGGACTGGGAAAAGCACTCTACCCAGACCTCACCCCCTTCCTTCTCTTGCCCATGAACAAGATGCGGTGGCCCAAGGGTTCCACTAGTGTCTGGTTTCCTTTATTATTGCACTGTGTGAGGTTTTTTTGTAAATCCTTGTAATCCTATTTTTTTTTTAGAAGAAAAAGCTGCATTTGTTACTGAAATGATTAATGCACTGATGGGTCCTGAGTTCATCTTGAGAAAGACCCAAAGGCCAGTCCGAGGGTGGGGGAAACAGCTAAGCAGACCTAGTTCCTGCCCTGCTAGGCCGCGCTGCACTGTGAGCCCCTCCTCATTCTCTTCTCTAAGCCCACACCCCGGGGACGGGAGGAGCACACACCTTGCCTTCTCCTGCCAGCTGCAGATGGTCCGCCTTGCCTTTCCGCCCTCACTGTCGGCCACAGGATGAGAACCCTCACAGCTCAGCCTTGAGTCCATTGCCAAAATGTCAGCGTACCTGCCAGCAACTTGGGGGGAAAGCTAAGGTGTCCCTGCGAGAGGGAGAGAAGGCAGAAATGGCGTGGTTGTCTCCAGACGTGTCTGAGTGTGATTTGAAAGTGACCAAGAGACTTTCCGCACAAAAATGCAGATTGAGGAATCATGGTGGGTCCTTCTCAAGAGTCCCCCAGGGGGCACCCCATCCCTGAGGAGTGACGGGAGTGGCGGCTGCAAACCTGGTCAGCTCCCAGTGAGAGCCACCTCACTCACGCTCTGCTGCTAGACCCTGTTGTAGCTGCATTTCCTGGTGGCCAGTGACAACTGTGTAACCAGAATAGCTGCATGGCGCTGACCCTTTGGCCAGAACTGGTCCCTTGGCTCCTCCATTGCTGCCCACCACGTCCAGCACAACCCTTCTTATACTTCTAGACCAATAGCAAGAATTAAGGGGGAAGCCTCGGCAGCTACAAGTTCTCAGCCAGACTCCTCTGCCAGGACCCAGCCCGCGCCCAGCTTACCTCTGTCCACCCCTTGGCCAATGCAGTGAGAGCCATGCAGCAACCTTGATTTAAAAAAAACAAAGAAAAAAAAAAACAAAAAATCTTTTAATGAATGTATCTTTGTAAAGGACTGACTTGTTCAATCAAATATCTGAAAATACTAAAGGTCAAAACCTTATTTGTTAGGAATTTGATTTGGGGTTCTTTTTCATAGAAATTAAGTTGTTTTTGTTTTTAAGGAAAAGCGGGTCATTGCAAAGGGCTGGGTGTAATTGTTTCATTTCCTTCTTCGTTTTAAAGCAATACAAGGTTACTGAGCAGATGGTTTTGTGCCGAATCATGAATATTAGTCAAGTCTCACACTCTGAAAATTTGAAACTTTTTTGTTTTGGTTTTCAAATGAATATAAATATGATATATATAGGAACTAATATAGTAATGCACCATGTAACAAAGCCTAGTTCAGTCCATGGCTTTTAATTCTCTTAACACTATAGATAAAGATTGTGTTTCAGTTGCTAGAATCAGCAGGAAAGCGTCAGGCCAGTGGTCCTCTGACTCTCGGGAGAGCCCAAGCGACAGAGGGGTGCCGAGCCTGGTCAGAGCAGAGTGCAGCGCTGGCCTCACCTGGGCCTTTCCTGCTTGAATGTTGCCAGTCAGTACCTGTACTCCTTGTTTCTCTATTTTTGGTTATGAATGTTGGGGTTACCACCTGCATTTAGGGGAAATTGTGTTCTGTGCTTTCTTGGTATCTTGTTCCGAGGTACTCTAGTTCTGTCTTTCAACCAAGAAAATAGACTTGTGGTGTTTCTTTTATTGAGCTTATAACAGTCTCTCTAGTAAATACAGGTAGTTGAACAATTGTTTCAAGAGCTCAACAGATGACAAGCTTCTTTTCTAGAAATAAGACATTTCTTGACAACTTTATCATGTATAACGGATCTTTTATTTTTGTGGGGTTTTTTTTTCCTTGTGTTCTTCCAAGCTTCTGGTTAGAGAAAAAGAGAAAAAAAAAAAAAAAAAAAGGAAAAGGAAAAAAAAAGAGAAAATGTGTCTAAAGTCCATCAGTGTTAACTCCCTGTGACAGGGATGAAGGAAAATACTTTAATAGTTCAAAAAATAATAATGCTGAAAGCTCTCTACGAAAGACTGAATGTAAAAGTAAAAAAGTGTACATAGTTGTAAAAAAAAAAAGGAGTTTTTAAACATGTTTATTTTCTATGCACTTTTTTTTATTTAAGTGATAGTTTAATTAATAAACATGTCAAGTTTATTGCTGCACATGGTTGCGTGTGCTTTTTGGCCTTGGCAGGTATGGAGAGCTTGGGGGAGCCGCGGCCTGTGACCTGGTCACCACACACCCTCTGCGGTGCCTGGGGTGGTGGACAGGACGGAGCTGCCTGACCTCTGCACAGCCGGGGTGGGCCCTGGGCCGCACCACACTGACGCCCTTACCTGGCTGCGCCCCCACTCCACAGGGCTGAGTGTTCAGGACCTAATGGATTTGGGCTCTGAGGACAGGGTCCAGAGAATGCAGAGCCATCTGTCCGTTCCCCCATCTGTCCAGGCGGGCGGGGGCGGGGGGGGGGCAGAGGTCCCTGCGGCTTTTCATGGAATAAATTAAAAGCTCTGCGGTACCTGCTCTCTGCTCCTTCCACCATCAGGCGAAAACTCATCTGCAGATTCTGTGGTGAGGGCCAGGTTTCAGTTGACAAATCCTTGTAAATAATCTGCCAAACCAGGCTCACTGACCTCAGGCCGCGGCTGGAGCCTGCACTAAAGCCAAGGCTGCTGCTCCTGGGGTGGTTCCCAAGCAGGCCCTCCTCCTCTCACAGCCACTGCCCGCAGGCGCCACCTCCTCACCCCACCCACCCGGCCCAGCCTCCAGCCTCTTCCCCCAGTCCTCTGTGGGACTTTGCAGTTGGACACCATGGGAACCCCAAATGACCAGGCCGTATTGCAGGCTATCTTCAACCCCAACACCCCATTTGGAGACATCCTTGGGGTGGACCTGGGAGAGGAAACAGAGCAGGACCGAGATGAAGGTGAGCACGAGCGCTTGCAGTGTCGCTCTTCACACATGCTGGCTGCGGGGCTGGGGGCCTTTTGGAGACAGGTCTCACTGCAGTTCAGGCTGCCCTTGACCTCACTTTATAACCCTGAGGCTGGCCTCAAACTCAAGCAATCCTCCTGCGTCAGCCTCCCAAGTGCCAGCATTACAGGCATGAACCACCACACTCCCCGTGACTGCTGGTCCCTGAAGGTAGCGTAAGGGCCCATGAGATTGGAACCCGGTCGATGGTCCTCAGTGTGGGGAGAGTGATTTATCAGGAGACATTCTGTCCAGAAGAGCAAGCCAGAGGGCATCACTCCACCCGCCTTCACCCCTCTGAGTTTACACTTAGTTCTTCCATGATCCAGGCTTAATTGCTTTGGATGGGTGGTGTTGAATTCTCAAATCTTGTCATAACAGACAATGTCACGCCCACAGAATGGAAGGCAGAGGCCGTTGGGAAGTTCAACATAGCAAGCAGAGTTGGCACTTAGACCTTATCACAGCCAAGTGCTCAGTCTTCTGCAGAATGAGGACATTTTCCACTGGGACTGGAGGAGAAGTGCGTATGTCCTTTTTTAGACAGTGAAACTTTAGCTTTACTTACTGAAACTTCAGGCTGAGCTATACCTTGGAGGGATTTTGGGATGTCATGATGGGCTTTAGGGAGCAGGCAGGATGGAAGAGCAACAGAAAGCTGAGAAGCCAAAAAGCCCAGCACTCATGCCGGCTCCACACCGCGTAAAACAAAGTAGTTTACTGGCCTACACCTCAGAGAGTTGGGAGTCCATCTTACGGCCTGGGTGCCATCCAGAGTCCCTTTTTGGTCCCTGTGGCTCCAGGTCTAGCTCCCAGGCTTGGTGTCCTCACCTCCTACCCCAAGCTCAGGAACGCTACCCCTGCTGGGACTCCCACGCATCAGGTCTGGATCAGTTCCCGGGGCCCCAAAGCCTGAAGTGGCTTTTTCTTTTTGCCCTCAATGACCTGTGTGTCCTCACCGGCTTCTTCCCCGGCACAGACGCGGTCTTCCCTCCAGCACGGCTAGAGCAGTGCAAGGCCCTGGAGCTGCAGGGTGTGAGAGCCGCAGAAGCTGGGGACCTCAGCACAGCCCTGGAGAGGTTTGGCCAAGCCATCGCCCTGCTTCCAGAGAGAGCTTCAGCCTACAACAACCGGGCCCAGGCCCGGCGGCTCCAGGGCGATGTGGCAGGTGAGGGAAAGCACCTCGGAGCCTCCTGCTGAGGGCCGGAGGTGAGGGAGTTGTTTGGGAACCACTAAACCCATGTTCGGACCTAAAAAGCCTGCGGTATGGCTGATCTCACAGGGCTGTGGGGAAAGTCGGAAGAGATCGTGTTCCACTCATTTACTGAAGAAACAGTCTGCTATGTGGCTGTAGGCTGAGTACCAAGGGTACAGAGAAAAGATTCACTCTTTATAGCTAACACTTACATCGTATTTGCTACATGCCAGGTATTATGATTATGCACTTACATATAGGCTACAGTAACTCAATCTTACAATGACCCTTGAAAAGCTAGAGGTACTCTTGTTATTACCCGCTTTTTTAGTTTTGTTTCAATTTGTTTTTTGAGACAGAGTCTTGATATTTAGTTCAGGTTGGCTTTCAACTCACTTTGTAACCTAAGCTGGCCTTGGACTCCAGATAATCCTCCTGCCTCGGCCTCCTGAGTGCTGGGGTCACAGATGGGCACCACCGTGCCTGGCTATTTTCATTCTAAAGATGAAAAAACTAAAGAATGGACAGGTTAAGTGACTGGCCCGCTATCTTTGGGAGGGAAGTATCAGAACAGGGATTTGAACAGGATGGGGCTAGGGGGCTTAAACCCCATGTGATACTGCTCTTTAGGGAGCTCAGTCCAGGGGACAGAGCAGTGACATTATTAGGTCATCGACATAGCACATTTAAGAGGGGCCCCCAGGATGTGTTCCTGAAGAGCACGTTTTGAAGGATGAGTAGGAGCTAGCTGGGCAAGGAGGAGCAGCCCAGAAGGGAGGGCTCAGGTACCCAGAAGCCGCGCATGGGCCCAGATAGCTTCAGCTCCCCAGGCTGCATGGGGCGGCAGCCCACAGCTGGGACCAGAGCGGGGAACTTGGGGTGTCAGGTGGTGGACGGGGCAAAGGTTTTAAGGGAGGGTGTCTGGCTTAAACCTGCTGCGTTCAGCTTATTCTGGCTGGAGTGGGCACCATGGGACAGAGAGGCAGTGCTGAACTCACTGCTGCCTTGAGAGGGGCGCAGGTGATTCCACCTGGAGAGGTTTCCACCCCCCTAGGCCTGCCCCGCTGAGGGAAACTGAGGTACCCTGGAATCTTGAGAGCACCTCTGTAGTCTTGGTTGGGTAGGCAGCATCGGGAGGGACAGGCTCTGCTTGCTCCTGGACGGTGGAAGCTAGAGCACCCCAAGGGCCCTGTTAGCTCCTTCAGGAGACTAGAGAACATGGACTGAAGTCGACCTCCAAAGAAAGCAACTGGTAGACCTTCTAGAAGACTCTAGCTGGGTGCTTGGGTTTCTGCGGTCGAAGGCCTGATCCAAGTTATTTTATGAAGATAATAAAAATTAAAACATTGCAAGCCAGCACCAGCTCCATAACTCCTTCCAAGGAAATTAGATTCAAAGTAATGAAGAGCAGGCTGGGGATTTAGCTCAGCGGCATAAGCACCTGCCTTGCAAGCAGGCAGTCGTGAGTTCAATCCCAGGTACCAATAAAAAGGAAAAAGAAAAAAACCAAAAAAACAAAGTAATGAAGAGCACTGAGACCATTCAAGAGAGCAAGGCCATCCACCCAGACAGCAGCTCTAACAGCAATAGAAAAGAGGGGAACAAAAAGACATCAAAAAGAAGCAGTGGGGTGGGGATTTAGCTCAGGGTGCAGAGCCTGCTTTACAAGCGCAAGGCCCTGAGTTCAATTACAAGAAGAAGGGTGGGGGGGAGGACCTGGGGAGGAGAAGGAGGAGGAGGAGGACCTGGGGAGGAGAAGGAGGAGGAGGAGGACCTGGGGAGGAGAAGGAGGAGGAGGAGGAGGAGAAGGAGGAGGAGGACCTGAGGAGGAGAAGGAGGAGGAGGAGGAGGAAGAGGAGGAGGAGGACCTGGGGAGGAGAAGGAGGAGGAGGAGGACCTGGGGAGGAGAAGGAGGAGGAGGAGGAGGAGGAGGAGGAGGAGGAGGAGGAAGAGGAGGAGGAGGACCTGGGGAGGAGGAGGAGGAGGAGGAGGAGGAGGAGGAGGATAGGAGGAGGAAGGGGGGAGGGGAGGCAGGGGAAGAGGAGGAGGAGGACCTGACTTAGTTGTATTTGTAGGAAACAGCTATTTCACAGCTGGGGATGCGGTTCAGCGCCATACTTGCCTGCCTGGCAAGGGCAAGGTCCTGAGTTCAACCCTGGTTGAAAACAAACAAATGGTCATGCAGCTAGTGATTGTTCCTGACCGTGGGACTCTGGGGTTGGTCTCCTGACAGAGAGCAGAGGTGTAGTGACTTCTCTGGGGAATGAACGTCCTGCTACCGGCAGGGGCAGCGGGCCAGACTCATTCAGATGCTGACCAAAGTCCTCCCAGCAAGGTTCATGTTTTGAGGTTATTAATGGTGGGCTAAAAAAAAGAACAAAGCAGGGGGCTGGGGATTTAGCTCAGTGGCATAAGCGCCTGCCTTGCAAGCAGGCAGTCATGAGTTCGATCCCCGGTACCGATAAAAAGGAAAAAGACAAAAAAAAAAAAAAAAAGAACCAAGCAAGAGGACCTGGACTTCTGTCCCCATGCAGCCACCGTGCCCTGCTCGGTGACTGCAGCTCAGGGGTCTCTCCAGCCCCTGCAGCCGTCAGCTGGGGAATGGGAATAACAGTCCCTTCCGCCCTGTGAAACAGCATTGCAGAGGCTGGTGAGGCAGGGGTAAAAGAGTTTGCCAAGATCAAGGCAGAGCCAGAGATTTAACACGCAGGTTATGCAGCACAAAGCCCGACGCAGAGGCATTGTGGGTGCTCAGAAGCAGTGTCCTTTTGAACAGGAAAAGTAGAGTCTGGAAGGGGGAAGTGGTCTGCTTTGTGTAACCACAATTCAAAAGAGGATCGGATAAGCTCCAAAAGGTGGGTCATTCTGGCCGTGAGTCGCTGTATGATGCTCCTTAAGCTTATTCCTTATGCAAAGTGTTGGTAGGGGCCCTGGGAATCGCGGTTTGTTTTAGGGTGGCTGCTTGGCCGGAGTGGCTGGACTGCCACCCACACAGTGATACTTTGGTCATCTTGCGCTCCAGGCTGGAACTCACCACTACTGAAACAGCAGTTCGAAAAAAGTCCGCTCAGAGTTTGTAACTTTGCTCACAAGTCAGACCAAAAATCTGACCAAAAATCCGACCTGAAAAAACCTGTATGAGCCAAGAGTGAGTGTCCCTGAGGACACGGAAGGGTGACCTGACCCTTCAGTCTAAGCGCAGCTCTCACCCAGATGACACACAACGCCCGAGTTAGTGCAATAAACAGCGATCACTGTGCTTCCTGTGTGCGTGCTTTATCTTACTTTACTTGGTACCGAGGTTTGAACACATGGCCTCGCTCTTGCCAGGCAGGCGTTTACTGCCGAGCTGAACCCCCAGCCCTGTGTGTGTGCTTTGTTTGTGTAAGATGCCCTAAGCAAGGCTCCGAGGGAAGTTTGTGATACCAGCGGTAAGCTAAGAGGAAAACTGTGAGACCCCTAATAGAGCTAAAGAAAGTTGCCAGTGTGAAATTTGTTAAAGTCCTGGAAAAATGAATTTTTAAGTGTCGCTTTGGGGTCTCAGAATCAATTATTTGGCTTTTCACTATTTCTAGTGGGAAAAATACATTCAGTTCAGTGTTCAAACCCAAATTCGTCAAATTGAGTTCAGCAACTGAGGAATCATTGGGTTCCATGTTTCCACCTGACAGATAAACAGAGTCGGGTCATTGACATTTGGATGGGGATTCCCTTTCCACAGCTACTTCAGGCGGGAGGTGCCTGAGGGACCTCCCCAAGGAGTCTGTTGAGCCATCAGGGGTCATTGGGACCAGGTAAGTAGTAACAGTTTGGGGGAGCTGTCCAAAGGCACACAGACTGGGAAAGATTAGAGTCCGTGTTGGTCATATGTGTAATTTAATGAACTGCAACCTGACGGAGACAACAAGCACAAACATGCTAAATACAAGTGGACCCCCAAAAGAAGGCAATTAGAGAGATGAGTGGTCCCCCAAAAGGCAGTAGCCAATACATCTCCAGCAGCTGGTATTCCAATCTGCCTGCCCTTGGTAGCTTGATTATGTTGCTGTTGTTTGGCTTCCAGAAAAGTCCGGACACACTGTTGTACCTGTCCTGTCCTGTCCCGTTTCTCCACGAACAACACTGTTTTTCATAGCACCTGTGCCCGCCACTCCCTTGCAGTGAGTAGGTCTAGGGCTCGGTGATTTTGTAGCACAGTTGCAGCCAGGGAATTTATTTGGTTCTGTGTAGCATAGTCCTGCTGAAATTTCTTCATTAACTTTGGCTAACGATGGAGAGAAGTTAAAAAGATCTGCTAAGAGGAGGGTGCTGTACCCCCCCCCCGTGACCACCTGTGATGCCAGCTGGGGAGGGGGTGCCAACAGGGCTGGGATGCATGGGCTTCCTTTCTCGGAAGAATGTGGGCCTGTAATTACTGGTAATGAATGGCACAGGAGAAGTGCTACTGAGGTGTGGCAACCTGGAAGCACATGGGCCGGGGTTCCGATGCCATTCCAGGTCAGGGGAAGGCTTTTGGAGCCACAGACGTATAGTACTCCGGCATACAGTGGTGGGCGTTCTGTTGCGGTGGAAGACCCAAGAAATTAGCCTCTCTACTCCAGTATTTCTGGTCAAAAGCGATGGTGTGTACTGCCAGAGATACAGGTTTATAACATATGGGTTATGAAGTTAAGCGAAGAAATGTCCCTGTGAGATTCTCAAAAGGTGGTCCCCTCCCTCTGTTTTAGGAAGAATTTATCCTCACTGGTGTTTTTCACATGAGCGCAGTTTTGTCCTTGTTTATAACGTGGTCCAGAGAGAGAAAAGAACAGACTGTGATTAGTACGGCTTAGCTGAAATCCCCAGAGTATGGAAGTTGGTGGTCTGCGCAGAGGTAGATCGGGAAATTCAGAAGGGAAGTAGCTCCTTGTTGGTTAGATTTTGGGGATTGTTTGGAGGTACAGTGGTATAGGAGGTGAGGCTGATATGATTGT